TGAATTGTATCTAGGCTCGAAAAATTATTTCACATCTGCTTTGCTCAACTAAACAGGCTCACCTCTCTCACTGAAATGGTGCTTTTTTATTAGTTGTTGTTAATGTTTTTTTTCTGTAAAACACTTTGAGAAGCCACCTTTAAAGGCGCTATATCAATTAAAGTTTATTATTCTAATATTTATTATATGTATGTGTGAGTGTGTGTGCACGCGCGCTCATGTTGGTCATTGAGAATTTCTGGGATTCCTATGAGAAGATGACTTGTAGGTGGTACTTGGCTGCTTTGGTTGGATTAGGGGTGGTACTTGGTCCAAAAAGTTTGAGAACCACTGCAATAGAGTTTTAAAATGACTCTGTGCATGCCTGGGACAGACAAAAGAGTGCACACAAAAAAGGACTGGCTTCTGCCCTGACATGGTTATACCTTTGCACTTCAATGACCAGGTATTCTTACAAGAGAGTAAAAAAAAACAATTTCCTCCAAAATCTCCCAGCAGTTTTGTGTTTTAAAATACTGCCTGAAATCCATACTCTTTTCAAGTGTTAATCTGTTACAAAGCACAATCTCATGCAATACAGGCGGTACAGCCTAAGCCTCAAGATCAAAAAATAATCCACTCCCTTGATCGTCTTATCCTCTGTTGGCACAACCCCCTAAACCTGCAACCGAGCCCTCACATTCCAAACTGCAGCCCCAGTCCCACAACCCCCCCAGGCCCCCCTAGCCAGGAGCCCTGCAAGGCTCTTTACCATGAGCTGCAGGACTCTGCAGGCCAGCAGCTCGTTAACAGCATCCTCACAGTCCTGGTCCAGCCTCAGAACCTCCTCCAGCGCACATTCTGCTTCGTTGTACCTCTGACGCAAGAAGAAATGACAAAGGAGTATGAGGGGCCAAAAATGCCAGGTAAAATTCAAGGGTCAAATACTAAACATAAGTGCTTTTCACTTCTGGTCCGTAGGAGTTTCAGGTATCATGGGGAATTAAAAACCCCTCAATAACTAAAGACCTAGAAAGAGAGGTAATTAAGACCAATCAAGTCAATGACTGATTCAATTACATCACTGGGGCCTCGCGTTCAATAAAAGCCAAAGACCCTTTAAATCTCCAGAACTAGGAGTGAAGATCCCTGCTGCAGATACACATACACACCAGACAGAAACAAAGAGATTCTACCCTGCGGTAGAACTCTGCATCACATCACCCCCCCTAAAACCATTACATTGGAGTCCAGGGCTCGGCTTCTACAGCCTGTGCTTGAAGTAAAGGAAGAACACAACACACAGAGACGCAGTAGCGACAGTCCAGCACAGATAGGGCTGAGCAGCTGCTCGACCACAGACCTTCATTCCCAGCAGCGCTCTCCCCTTCCTGAAATAGCCTTTGGGCCAGTCAGCAGCCAGCTGGATAGACCTCTCCGCGTCGGAGAGAGCAGAGGGGTACTGCTCCAGACGATCGAAACAGTACGAGCGATTCCCAAAGAACCTGCCACAGACACATCAGTCACGAGCGCTGTCGAGAGAGCCGTCCACGGGCACACAGCTCGGAACTGCAGCGAACGCTGACAGCAGACTACCTGTGATCCTTTGGATTGTGTTTAATAGCTTCTGTAAACATGTCGATGGCGTGAGAATACTGTCCTCGCTGTACCAGTTTGATCCCTTTTTCTGAGAAAGAAAAACATATAATTGAACCAGTAGAAACCATCCAGTCAAAACATCACAGCGCCCTGAAAAGGCACAGAATATCTGCCTTTTTCACCAAATACCAGATACCAGAGGCCAGCAGGCTTACAGTAAGAGCTGATACCAAAAAGTATATATTGTAGTATTACAGGCCATTACAAATTCCCTGAGCTCTTCTCAAGCATTTATATTGTCATAATCCTCAATGCATAATAAACTTGAGTACTGCCGCAGAGTAAAATACCTTGAGGAGCTTCTATACTCTTTTGAACCATTTCTGTGGGTATACAATCTGTCAAATATTTTGCAAACAGTTTAAAAATAAATGGCTAAGCCATATAACCGGTGAGAATGCTCCTTTTAAGGTGTGCTGTTTGTACCAAGGCAATCATTGCTAGGAATGGGTAAGCAGCAAAGACTAATCTTTTATATATTTGTTTGCAAAAATACCATGTTCAGTCCACAGTTGCTGAACAGAGCTTGGATATGAGAGACAAGACAAAGAAGGCAAATAAGGAGTAAATAACATGTTAGAAAAAAATTAAATGATTTGATTACAAACTTAAACTAACAAGCAGCTTAATTCTGCTCCAATCAGTGACATCTGGCAATGCAGTGGAATGTTTGGTATATTGCTCGCATTTTGTCTCCAACTTTCTATAAACTGTTTAGCTGTACAATAATCTACACCGAAGTTGCCCGGGCTTGTCCAGAAAGTAAACAAACTGTGCAGAGCTGCGACTCTGTTGGTAGTGCCCAACCTCTCCATTCTCATGCAGTGATTGCAGCCTGTAAAGGACTGCAAAATCAGTCATCATTCATGTCAGCCTGTCACGAAAGGGGAATGCTCACCCTCGACAAATACAAAAACCACAGACGCCAAGACACACAGAGGTGCTGCACCCACCTGCTAATGAGGTGCTCCTCTTAGCCACTGCATCTGTGCATTTCACCTAAAACCATAATCGAACATTTTGTGTTATGGAGTATGGAGGTATTGTACTCATCTACAGGCAGCATCCACGTTCGCTTCTATGACTTTCATGCAAAAATAGCTTACATAACATTTAGTCCTTATTCTTTAAAAAAGAGGCACTCATCTCAGGGAAGTCACTCTTCAATGCATTTACATTTTAATTACATTTGCATTGACACTTTACAGTTCAAAAAAGATTGCAGTGACAACAGTTGTCTTGTACTTTTCCTGTAAGGAAGCGCTTTCATACACCACTATGTAAGCAGCTAGTGGAAACCAGGCTTCTGAATGCTCTTCTTGAAGCAGCAGCTTTATCTTCAAGGTACCCAGACTGCCACGGCACTAACCTGTCGCGTTCCGGCTTCGTTCTCTTTGTTCTCCTTGGACCTGCGGCCTGGTTTCTTCCTGATGTGGCTGGCAGCATTGGCGACAAAGGCACTGCTCACATCCCACTCGGGCTCCTGCACACAGCACCTTTAACAGCTCTGCCTCAGTTCTGACACGCAGGCCCTACAGACTTTACTGCTCCAGAGACCGTCCAGGCGGCCTGAATTACATCACAGATTCGCCCTCCCCCTGCCCAGCTTACAAACTCACCACCTTCTGCTGGCCAGAGACTTCCAGCTCCCACTCAAAACAACCTGCCATTCAGACTGCGTTTGCTACTAACACTGTTGGCTAACTTGAGAGCTGGCTGAAGGTTTTATTGAATCGGGGCATTCGATGCTGCCCAAGGTCTAATACTGCCAACTGCATTAGCACCTAGTCAGTACGGCTAATGGTCACATTCTCCTGCTATACAACTTTAATGACCACTTTTTGGTAATTGTCAAGTTTTTAAAAACTAACATTTTCACCCAGATCTAACCGCTGGACCGTTTCCAGGTTTTTGTACAATATGCCACACGCCCATCAGTTTCAGGTTAACATCTTCGGCAAATGCTGGCACTCTGTTCTGTAGCGGGTCTGAGTGGAGCAGCTTGTTGGAATTACAATGCAGAAAATGAGGACGAACAGTACAACCATGTGCCACCTGAATCAGCGATGGCGTTACCCAATATGGAGCCCTTCACCCACCTCTTCGCAGGGGCTGGGACGGGGCTGGTGGTTGTTCTTATTCCCCGAGGCTGCTAGCGGTGGGACAGACTTGCCCCTGCTGCGCGAGACCAGCTCAACCATCTCTCCTTGATCTTCCTCACTCTCGCTCTCCTCCTCAGAGTCCTCACATCCTTCCTCGTCCTCCCCCTGCCGACACACACTCCTCAGCACTGGCAACTGGAATAACAGGGCCTTTCTTTGCCAATGATACTTTCCTGAAAAGTCCAGGTCTTTACCTGTCCGTTTCCCTCATTCTTCTTAATTTTCTCCAGCTTCTTTCGCTCTTTCTGTCGCTGAAACGGAAGTGGAAGAGGTGGCTACAGTGTCCAAGCACTAGAGAAGTGTCAGGGGGAACTACAATTACTTCCTGATGGGCGAGAGGAGGTATTGTTAAAAATGATATAGAGGGAACAGTCACTTAGCAAATGGGTTATTTAAAAAATAGAAGAAAAGTACAAGCTAAAGCCTTAACAGGAGAATGGAAGGCAAGACCCAGGGCCACAGCGAGAGGAAGCTGGGAGTTCAGCACTAGTTCACTTTGGGCCCCCAGGACAGTGGCTATTATACTAGCAGCCACGGGAGGTAGCGAGACGACCCCAGCTGTGCGTTCTGGACACAGAGGTACATCATGCCGTTTATAACTGAATACCAGTTTTACAAGCCTTACGGTTTATTCACTTTGTGAGCCAGATGTCTACAATATTCCACACCAAACTTCATGCGTTTCGAAAGTTAAAGGTGTGACCAGTTCGAGTGCGCGCACAGTGCGACAGTGGCGCGGGTCCCAGGCTCACCTTCCTCTTGGCCCTGCGGCGCTCCGCTCTGCGCCTAGCTCGCTCCTCCTCGCTTAGCACTTCCTCCGGGCTCAGGCCGTCCTGCTGAACACACTGCAAAGCTCTCAGCACTGGGCAGACAGTGCTTTCCCACCCTGAAGGCTCGAGCCCGCTTTTTAAACCTTTCCCTCCTTGGCGCATTACCAGATCCTTTGCCATCACCCACTGCCCTTTGAGCAACCCTTTCGGCAAAGAAAATGTGCCTGTTACATCCCAGTGTGTGGTCTGTGTGTGTTTTCTTATAGCTTTGGCTTTTGTTAGTTTCTGTTTGTCTCTTTGTACTTTCGTTTGTTTGTGTGTTTATCCTTGTTTTGCCATTACCTTGCCCTAATGTGTTATATGTTCAACCTTTGTGTTCTTTTGTAGCCTGTTCCTGTTGATTACTCTCGATTTCCCTTATTTGTGTTCCTAGTACACTTGTGTTTTTGTGTGAACTTTTGTGTATAAGGTTAGTTTAGGTTGTTGGGTACATTCTACACACTTTGTTGATTTTGTATTAGTACACTAGTTTAGTACGGGTGAGTGCCGTTTGTCTTGTATGTTTTTAGGTAGTCAGTGGAGGTTAGCTAGGGTGTTGAAGACACCGAAGACCGTGTGTATCCCAAAACTGATCAGCCCCCTGGCATTCCCAATCATGACCCTTGTGTGTTGTGCCACGTAATGAAAAATCAACAAGGTTCAATTTGCTCATCAAGCAAGGTACAATGGAAAATCTCATTTAGCAGTAGAACCACTGCTGAAGAAAACAGGGACACTTTCCCTACAATTTCTAATAGCGCCTCCATCTTAGAAATGAACAGCGGTGAAAAACCATTCTCTCAAATATCGGGGCACCACACGCCTCGTACCTGGATAATTGCCTCATTTCCAGGCCTCCTCTGTGGACCCACTCCTCCATACTCCATTTTCTCCTTGGTCTGCTCACTGGAGCCGTCTGGGAAAGGAGGCGAGATTACTGACGATGCAGACAGGACAGCACAAGACACTGTTCTAGCAGGACGTTTATGGTCGACTTGTTTTCAAGTATGAGTTCACAAGAATATTTTCATGCAATAAGTAATGTGATAGCCCAGCTATTACTTAGCCAGGAAACAGATAAGATGACAAATTAAAAGCTGGGGAATAATCAAAAATAGGAAATAAGAGAACAAAGAAACACAGACGAGAACTATAACAGGACAGTTTGCACATGAGCAGCACTGAGGCACACAGTCTATGCGTGGACTTTAAGAGAAATCTTAAACATGCAGACTGAAGGGAGAACATCCAAGAGACTCTCTTCTCCTCAAACTGTACTCAATCCTGGAGGGAAGCAGTTAAATTAGAAGAATCCTGGTGGTTTTTGGATGATTTTCTAGAAAGGCTCCTGCATGGTTCAGCTCACACTCATTTGCCCGGGTCAAACAGACCAAATCCAATACAAGAATTCCAGAGACTCTGTGACTAAGGATTGACAGGAAATTACAGTGGGTATTGAAAGTCACCACCCCCTTTCAAATGTGTACCTTTTGTTGTATGACACTCTGAAAATAAAAACCAATTAAATTAGGCTTGTTCCATTTTTATTAACAAACAGTAACCCACATTAGCCAAGTGAAAATACAATTCTAAAACATTCTGAAAATTAATTCATGTTACAACAGTAAAATACCTTATTTGGATAAGTGAACACCCCCCTTACAACTGCATTTGTAAACTTGCTCAGGTCAATCACCTTACAGATCACACAACAAACTAATTGGCTCCCACCTGTGATCAACTGTGGTGAGTTTGATTAGATCAGAATAAAAGCAGCTGTTTCTAGAGGATTCCACTGCTTGGAAGTGCATTTCAAAACAAAGAATCCACTATGGGCAGAAAGGTGCTTTCAAAAGAACTTCGAGATAAAGTTTGGATACATCTCTTACCCAACCCAGTTATTCTACTTTTTTTATTTATTTATTTTTCAGAAATGTAGCTTTAATTTTTCACTTGGATGTTGCAAGGTACAATTTGTAAATAAAACTGGAAAAAGTCTGATTTTATTTGTCTTCTTTTTGGGCTTTAGGGCAACAAAAGGTGAAAATTTTGAAAGGGGGTGGTGACTTTCTATACCCACTGTACTTAACCAGCAAATTCCTGTCATGAACTATAGCATTTGTTCAACTAAGCATCTAACACACCACACACAAACAATGTTTGCTTCTTGTTTTTAGTTTCTGCTTGGCCAGCAAGTTTCATTTTCAGAAGATCTGATGATGCTCCCAGCTCCAGCTGCTCAATTTCATTATTTTTTTTAACGAATGTACACTGGCTTCAGCACAGGGACAATACTCCACATCGCTCTTCCATTCTCTGCGGTCTTGTGAAGAAGTATATTTCTCCAATGGCACGCAGAACAGCCCCCACACTGAATAACTATCACAGACATGGACAGTTGTGGTTATCTTCCTTCTGTATACAATTTCAGGACATTGCTACCTTGAACAAAAAGAAAATGTCAGGAATATAGATCACGTGAGGCACAAGAGGTGCACAGCCTTCAGGAGAGGAATTCATAGTTTAAAATATTGCTAAATCACTCCAATGGTACTGGCCACAGATGTGAGAATGGTCTGCCTGACTGCAGCAGTCTTATAAGGGTTTATGAGGGTCATTCTGTCAAGAACTCAGATATCATAATGCATGATTAATATACTGACCACCTGTGACACCATCTGCAATGCACACTGAACAGCAAAACTTCTTGTGGAACTAAAATTCATAATCTACTCTTATAAGCCTCTTAAATACCCAAAGTATGAAGGTACATTTTCATTGACATGTTATCCAGTAGCATTTAGAGGTAGCCTTTTTTTGGACAAAGAAACTTCAAGTTCCTTGAAATAAGAGGCTATGCTGAAATTCCTGGCCATTTGACAAAACATTCCAGCAATAAATTCTCTTTAGAAAATATTCCTTGACAAATTGAGATGACAGAGCTCTTACTTACTAACAACTAACCTGAAGTTAGATGGATGAGCCTAAAAATTCTTAGATCTTATGACAAACTCAATACAGCAATGAAAAGCCTATGGACACAAAACCAGTCTTCTCTTCCAACCGCCATCTTTAGCAGGCTTAATCAATAGGTTGTAGTAAACCATTTCTAAACCCACAACTTAAACTCATCTGAAGACTCAAAGGAACAGTTAGATGCCATTTGGCTCAATTAGCTACTAGTAACCAGATGAACGAAGACTGCATGCAGGCATTTCTTAAAAGGAGCCAAGATACTGCCTTTAACAACCTGGCTAGACTCCTAGAACTTGTGTGAAGAAATACTGTACCTCCTGTTCTCAGTTTCAAAAGAACTTCCTTGCCGTTTCCATTTGTTACCTAGGGTTCATGCTTCACTCTTGATTCTTAAGAAATATGCTGGGGTTGATTTTTCCAACGCCTTTTTAAAGGCTTTTCAAGGATTTTAAATACTTGAATTGGGTCCTTTTATAGTCTTCCCTGCCCAAGGTGAAAAAAATCAATTTTTAACCATTTTAAAGACAATATAAAATACATTTGTATCACTTTCTGTGTAGTACGAATCTGAATATCACCCCCAGCACACAGAGTCATGAACTCATACCTAAGGCACAGTACACAAACTAAAATTGTTTCGCCGTAGGTACTAAACCAACACTTAACTATAAATACAACAACATCAACAACAAAAATGTCCTTTTTGTCGGCCCGTTTCATTTGGTTCTGTTACCAGTGATTTTCCAATTAATTCCCAGCTGAAATACAGAGCCACATTTCTAACCTTGTGGTTGGAGCTTTCCTTTAGAGCACTGTTCTGAAAAGCAAAATCCCCAGGTTGTTCCCTACTCTGCCTTTATGACTGATTTTTTTCTCATTTCAAGACCATGAACAGATTGAATCTGCCACTTTCACTATTACCTAAACATTTTCTAGTACTGTTAAATACCCTGTTGCATCACAGGACTTTTAAGTACAGTTCAACTGAATTACAAGCGTATAGTCCACTATAATGTGAACGCATTGTGTCCTGCGAGGAGCAAATGAGCTTATATAATGAATCTAGCCTACGTCAGTTATCTGTGAGCAGTTGCCCTGCAGCAAGCAGAGTTAATGTGGTGACAAATCTCTGAGTAACCAGACTGAGCACAATAGTACTCAGGCACCCAGTAGGAATCCTATATTTCTATAGCTTATAAAACCACAGACAAAGCAACTCTAGGGTTCGATGATCGCCACTGGATGACTTTTCACAAGCAAACTCTTTTAGAACCAGGAGCGGGAACACGGGATTGTTAAGATGGCAGACATCTTGAAATCTTGAAAAAGCCATACATCACTATAGCCCTATTGAAAGAACATCGTGGGAAAAAAAAAACCTCTTCAGCTTGTTGGTTATACTGTAAAAGAATGTGAGCCCATGCAATCAACAGCCAGCGCTTGAAAGACAATAAATAGAGGGCCATTGTCTTCTTGAGATGGAAAAAGGATAAATTACAGTTGCACATGAACTCATTGGTCAGGAATTCAGCATCTCATCATTCAACACTTCCTGATCCTCATCCTTGCTTGATCTCTCACAACACACTACAGGTTTCAGGCCTGTTAGGAACAGCTCCATCAGTGTTACTGCAGTTGGACTTGTCATTTTCCTTTCTTTCTCATGGCTGCTTCATGGCCCTTCGTCGGGCAGCACCTACAGGAATTAGACTTTCCTCTTGGAATACAGAGGACATACTGGGTCACCTGCTCCAAGGCCCAATGATCTGGAGATGCGTGCGTTAAGGGATCACGATGCAGGACACTGAAAAATGATCTTGGCTGTTCAAGATAATGACACTCCACCAGTAACCTTAAGAAATATAGCACAGCATTCATAAAACAGTGCTTATTATTAATAAGGAGGGGCAGATTCTCAGAAGGAAATTCCACAAAACAAAATGGTGCAGCCGAAAAAAAAACAACCTACCGTTATGTTTTATCAAGTATAAGCTTGGCTTCGTTAAGGAAATTTGCCAGCTCTCGAAAAACATCCAGTCCAGGAATAACAAGGTCACTCATTACAGTGCAGAAAATACACAAGTAGTGCGCTATTTTTAAGCAGGCACCTGATGGAAACCTTCAAATCAAGGTCCACAACCACTTACAGTAAGGTCTTCCAAGCAGGAGCAGTGCTGAAGGCAGGTATGGGCCAAGTGACAAGACTGACAGGTAACACAGTTTTGTTGTCAAATTCCATGGCATGGAGAAAACTGCTGATAACTGCTGTTGGTCCAACCAGCTTCCTGACCACATTAGGTCAGAGCAGGATCTTTGTGCAGACTTGATCACAGAGTTTAGTGGACACTAAGTGAAACTGGCTTCTACTCAGGGCACAATAACCCAGTTAAAAACCATGCTATAAAAAAGGGAGAAACATGCAAACTCCTTACAAAAAGGTGCCCTTTTCCAGAACTCGAGAGCTATGAGACTGTAACACTAACCATCACAACGCCCCAAATGCAATCGGCTTGATTTAATTCAGTCAGTCCTTCAAAGAACGAAAATAGCTTAGCTTACGACACAAACACTAGACACGTACATCTCTGAGCAATGACTCCTCACTGACTGACATCAGGGCGATACACAAGGCGCTGGCACACATTCACGCTCTCCAGTTGGCTGGCGTGGCTCATCTCTCCAACGCACTAACCATACCAACTAAAATAGAAAATATACTGAAGTCTTAAAAAAAAACAGGAATCATCGTTTAACTACAGCAGGTCCCATAGTGGTTGTGATGAAAGGTTTGGAAGACGGAAAAGGTTACAAAGAACGATTTAAAAATAAAGAAGCCGACTTTTACAAATTAAACTCGATGAACTGGTACACTAAATCAACAGGTAAAAGCGAATGGTAACAGGAACATCACGAAAATTAAGCGACATTCAACAATCATCTAGTCATTCAAAATCTGCACCGTCCTAGTTTGTCGGCGATATGTCACACCAGACTATAAAACTGTTTGAAGGAAAAGTCTGCCAAGTTTATAAAACAGTTAACAAGCATTTCCCAAAACACTTTCATAAGGCTTTGCTCCACGTGCAGTGCCTTCGACTTCAAACGCAGTGTTGGTTAAAAGTTGATGTTTAAAAGCTTAACCCATCCAAGCGAAGACGCTTTGAATTGCCTGTCAAGAGGACTTGAAAGATTCGACGGCCCCATTAAAACACCGCTGCAAGCGAAACTACGCGTCGCACTTCGACATTCAAGAATCCCTTTCGTTTGTCCAAAGAGTTCAAGTTTAAAATGACTACAGCGTGCTGAAAGAGTCTAAGAAATCAATTAAAATCTGGGACAACACCGGCGGCAATTTTCTCTGATAGGCTTGCAATAGTTTGTGTTTATTCATTTTGATTTAAAGATACACAGAGCAAATACTGTACTTAAGTCCATGTACTGCATTTAGAACAGTCACAAATCTTAATTATCCACCGATAACACTGATGTGACTCACCACATCACACAGAACAGTGCAACCCAAATATTCCGAGACGTTTTGCAATGTACAGTACAAGCAATACTAAGTTAAAACGCCTTTTTAAAGTATATCACCTTTTTATTTTCCTCAGTATTACTAATCATGCACTATGACATTTTTCTCAACAATTCATTAGTGTGCTTTTGTGTTATTGTTTTTTTAAGTTCGATTTCTTCAGTCAAAGCGACTATGGAGCGCATTAAATAAAATCACTGCATACTGTTTCAGTTCTCCTGCTCCTAACAGACTGCGAGCAAGCTTTCCCTACAGAGGAACACACGCGAGGCGATGACAGGATTACAATGAAGACACACCAGCACAAAGCTGGAAAGTGTTAAAGCACTGGTTTAAAAAAATCTGGTAAGTCTTAAGAACATCCTCACCGCTGCCGATTCCCAGAAGCCGGCGTATATCCTTGGTGAACCTCATCAGTGCGACCATCCAGCATTATTAACAACAGCGAAACTTAAATTTAAAAACGATAAATACGTTGAAACAGAAAGTTGGAAAAGGAAGCTTTAAGGGAATCTGTGGTTCCTACGCTTCCTGAGCGCGTTTGGCGTCAGCGTTCCAGCCTGATCCTCCTCCACCCCCGTCAGCGTCTTAAAGGGCCAGTAGGTGTAGAATAAACACACACACCCACACAGTTGGCAAAACCTCGAGTCCACCTTAGGGAAACTAATAAAGCCTTAACTTAAAGCGGCCGACGGGATGTGCGCTGGTGACAGGTAACTAGAGCAGCTGTCATATAATTTATGACATTACCGCATGTCTTGTACTGTTTGAAACAGGAGGCTTTGGAAATGAAGATCCTCGGAATTGCACGTATTTCACCGACCTCGACACAAATAGACTTCTAGTACTTTATTTTAAAGTTAAAATACAGCGAAAAGTGTTTTTTTCTCAATAGATAACGTCCGTTTCAACCTAAAGTAGTCGTATTATTTTTGTCAGTGTTGCTCTAATTATAATGATAGAGCAATAATTTAGACCAGCAGTCTAGTTTTACACATCACCCTTCATCAAATGTTTCTTACAATTAGGAATATGTGTGAACTATTGATCAGTTAGGCAAGTAATGTGTTCAGTTATAGACAGAACTATGGTCCTTGGTGGCCACACCAAATGTTTGGTCAAAAGAATCTCTAAACTACATAATTCAACAAGCCACCTACAATTAATCACAATCGAGCTGTTCAAAGTCTCTGGAAGTTGGTGATTTTATGGTTGACAATAAAAGCTGATGGATTGAGGGTTGGAGCTGCATGTTGTAGACACTCCATTAAATAAATATATTATAACTGGAGTCTACATTCACAAAGGGTTTATTGCATTGCCATCTGTCAATAACAGAGACTTTCTGGCTTTAAAAACAGTCAATTGAAGATGAGAAAAAGGAAAACAACATCATCCTATCACAAGGACATTTCCGCACAGCACTTGTATCCTCAACATCTCTGTTCCTCTTGCATAATGACCTGTGAACTCCCTTCGCAACACTCATACTGCATAAATAATAAGATGTGACACGTAAGCAGAATGAAACTAGAAATAAAATAGTTTCCCAGAAAAATCCAGGTGTGGACTCCAAATCAGAATGGACAGTCTAGGGCATGGGTCTCCATCCCTCGTCCTGGACAGCCCCGGTCTCATACCTCACCTCTTTCTAAAGATGGGCAAAGCCTGTAAGATACTGATGAATCAAACGAGTAATCAAATGGGGTGTCTCTATGGCAGAGGAGCGCTGGAAAGGACTGTGGGCCCTGTACTGGGGCTAAGGAGGAAAAAGCTGTCCCTTTGAGCTCCTGTGGACGACTGGATTAGCACAGTTTCAGAGCCGGGACACAGAAAAGAGCGCACAGACAGCAGGCAGTAGGGCTTGGGGGGACTCTTTAATTGTGCAAATCCAGCCCAGGCATCCACTTGCACAGCGAAAGGATTGAAACAGATTGATTACCTTTTTTATTTAACTTAATTGACATTTCATGTTACTGTAGAGTGTTTACTCAGTGTAAGACTGATATTCATTGTGGAATAAAGTTGATTTTGTTAAAAATCTGTTCAATTAAGAGACCTCTGACTAAAGGGTACTTAGAATTTAGTCCTAAATGATCTCTAAATCCCTTAATTTAACAAATGTAGCTATTTGAGCAAATTGTCTATATGTAATTGATCAGAATGTATTTTTTTCTTATATTTAAAAACTGGCAATTGAATGGTGACCTTCAAAATCTGCTGGAACTCCAGGACCAGGGTTGGAGACCCCTGATCTATGGTCCATCAGAGGACAGAGCTCTACAGTGGTGCTGCAGCATGACAGGACTACATCTAAAGCTCCCTCCCAGCCTAAGATCGTCCTCTCCGCAGGTCAGCCAGGACTGTCAGGGCAGCGTTCCATCCTGCTGAGCCCATCACTCCTCCGCCTGGCACACAGGGGCAGAGAAACAGAGGGAGAGAGATTAACCATGACCCAAAATGGAAGATATTTGCATTACCTACTAAGGCAGCAGTACACAGTCATCAGACATAAACTGCTCTTGCAACGCTTTATCTCATATTCACATACTTTTGATTCATCTCTCTGAGCTACTTGTTCAAACCGCAGACAGTCTGCAAATCATTGTAAATGATGTGCCCGAAAATATCAGCCATCTGCTTCTGACACTGATAGATAAAAAGCCTGTTGAAAAGTCAAGGAAATGATATGGCGATCAACGTTATGTATTATCTCTTAATCCAGAAAACATTTCTTATAAAAGAATCTGGCATTAGCTTTTTACAAGTCTGACAGGACCCTAAATAAGTCACTTCTCAAGGTTGCATGTGCCCAGGATCCTTTTAAGGAAAACAATTTTGCGAACAGTGAGGTTTTTCTAAAGGGTTGCTGTCCAGCGACAGACCTGGGTGGGCTCCGCTCCCACACAGATACAGCCCTCGGACGGGTGAGCGGTAGTCACAGAAGGATGGCAAGGGCCGTGCCAGATAGAGCTGGTCCAGTGACATTGCTCCGTGAAAAATATTCTGAAAGAAAAGAAATGAAACATAAACTGCACTCATGTTATCAGAAAGGAATTTCAATCTGGAAAACTGGTTTTCAAGGCCAGGTTTTGTACATAGGTCATTCTTTCCCAAAGACACAGAGTGACTGCGCATTCTTTCTTGAAGCCATGTCTTAAAGTCTGTCTGAGCAATCTAGACCGCAGGAAACAAAAGCCATGTCTGTCATCTGAATATTTTCTCAAATCTTTTCCACATTTTATGGGCTGCTTTTTTTCCCCGTTGGCAGTCAATACAATCTCAATTTAAAATAGCAGATGGCTGTACAGAACCCCCTTCATCTCACCAATCTCTGTAAGGGACCACTCTCAAAAAGACCCACAGAAGAGCCCGTCTCACATGAGGTTACTCAATTGCAAAAAAAAGCTAACTACACTAAAAAAGTACATGTTGTGTAGCGATGGCTCTACAGGCAGTGACTCTGGGTATTGAGTAATGTAGCATGGTCCTCTTAATGGTAATGCTATGTGTGTTTTCAAATATCCAAATCAATCTTTAACACATTCATTAGTAACATATTGTCCCAAACCTGCTACATTTTCTTAAACTCTCCACATTGTCAAATACCCACAAAAACCTTTCAAGTAAGATCAACGTCTAGATTCTACTGCTTTGTCCTAAAGATGTGTATGACAGCCTTGCAAAAGTATTCATTCATTTCAATGTCCTGTTTTCCTGATTTCCAAATGATATGTAAAGTCAATTTAAGTAAATATTTTAAATCAAAACTTCAAGCTTTACTTAAAAACATTCAAAAAGTGAGTCTTAAGAGCCGCTTAACAATAGCTTGGAAATTAGGAAAGGCTTTTTTTTCGCAGTAATACAGTGTCCTAATACTGTTCATATCAGCGCCAGAAAAAGACATAGCTTTGATGAGCAGTCAGGGTGTAATTTAAAAACCTGGTCAAATGTAATGTTACTTTGACTCACATACATAGTTCAGATTGTAGTCATGTCCCCTCTCTTACTATAAGCTTGTGTCCTGCACTGTTCAAACTGTAAAAATGTACAGCAATTCTAAACACAATATAAAGAGATACAAGGATCTGAAACACAGGTTCCTGACCCGTCTCTCATACCAGCACACAGAACACCTCACCTCCTGATACTCACCCCTCCTGTCAGCCCGAAGATCTTCTCCAGGTCAGGTGGGGTCAGCACCTCTTTGCCCACTACCGAGTTCTTGAAGCCAGGGGCATAGCGCTCAATCCAGTCAAAAACTGCAGAAATACAGATCCCACTGAGCCCTCACCACACACCTCATACCGAGCAGGACAAACTGGGTATCCTGCTCTCTTCTTGCATTTCAACCACAATTCCAGATGCTTTGCTTCCCACAAAGGACAGAACAGTGCTCAACAGGAAAATATAGGTTAATATATATTTATTCCCCTTCACCACCGCCAATGTGCAGCATCCAATGTGCAGATTTGTAATTTAATTTATGAAGTTAGGTTTGATATGACTGTCTCGAAAATGAGCAATGAGTTAAATGTTCACTACCCTTCATTAATGAAGCCTAAAAGCTACTGTGGGTTTGAGAGTGTACATTAATTCAAGTTTACCGCCACCAGACAGCAGATTTTAAGTTTTGAGAAACTTCCAACTGCCTGGAAGTGAAACTAATGAAAGTGCTCCTCTTAGTGCACGTAGTAACAAAACCACTGAAGTTTGTAAAATACACTGGAAAATCCCACTTGAGCAAACACAAAACAAGAAGACGTCTTTAAAAACTTCACCAATATACAGGCAAATATAAAGGAGAGCTAGGCCTAAAATGAATTATTAAAAATAATACATTTCAAAGAAACATAATTATTATAATTTAGAAAATAACTATTCACTGCGGTTCAGACAACATGCACTAAAGATTAACCTAAACCAGATTCATCTCTGCATTTATCTAAGGTTAGTCCCGCAATCCAGTGCTTTTATCTAATAAGTACTCTGGACTCCGGAAACCTGACAGAACATTCTCCAGACTGAAAGTGGTCTGATAACTTTGCCACCGTCTCTCTGCGTCTTGACGCCGAGTCCCAGCTGCTTCCTGCTGCCTCTCACCTACGTCGGCGTATTGATCCCGGTCCTCTGGCCTCCACGCCCTGCCCTCCAGCCAGTAGGGGGTGAACTGACTGAAGATAGACACCACGTGACAGCCAGGGGGCGCCAGAGTGGGGTCCAGCACAGACGGGATGCACAACTCCAGCATGGGTCTGGCGGGGTGGAAGGGGGAACAAGGTTACAAATGAGAGGGGGCCCGTCTTGCACAGGAAGGGGTTCAAAATTTAGGGGATTTGAAAGGAGCTGTCCTTCGGGTGAGACGTAAAACCGAGGTCCTGACTCTCTGTGGTCATTAAAAATCCAAGGGTGTTCCTCAGAAAAAGAGTAGCGGTGTTACTCTGGCACCCTGGCCAAATTTCCCATTGGCCCTTACCAATTATGGCCTCCTAATAATCCCCATCTATGAACTGGCTTCATCAGTCTATTCTCCTCCCCACTGATAGCTGGTGTGTGGTGAGTGTACTGGTGCACTATGGCTGCTGTCGCATCATCCAGGTGGGGCTGCACATTGGTGGTGGTGGAGGGGAGTCCCTATTACCTGTAAACTGCTTTTTAAAATTTAAATTTAATGGATAATTGTACTTAACAATATGAACTTTACAATTTCATTTTGATCGGTATGCTATTTGTGGAGGGGTGTGGCTCTTGTTGATTTCTTCTGCTGTAGGCAGCTTGATGTCATGCAACCTGGACACCACAAACTCAGAATTAGCTGTGGTAACAGTTTAGAAACCACGTCCTTCTCCTTGGCTTGTGTCCGAACTGACCTGGTGGAAGGGCGCTCCTTTGTGGCCTGGAGGTATGCCTGCTCTAACACTTCTATGCTCTCGCAATTCAGGTGGATCGAACACTGGTGGTGTGGGCCAGGCCTCCCGTCTGGTGTGTTGGGGGCAGCCAGGAAATTGGGCAAACTGTCCAAAGCAACTGTGAGAGTTGAGAAGAAAACGAATTACAGTGGGATGGGATAAAAAAAATTGAAAGATTAGGTACATCATAAAAGATTGGACTTCATTATGGAACGCATGTAGCTCTCAAGGAAAGAAGTGAAACAAGCCAAAGCCTTTCGTCTGCTCTGAGCTTACCATTTATCTTGGTGACAGGAGAGGCATAGTCAATCTGAGAGATGGCTTTAATGAATTCTGATGGCAGCGAGTCCTACAAGGAATAAAACAGTATTGACTGCACACCTTAGAGACACTCATTCCATCCCAGCTGCCAGAACCACTGAAACAAGCCACGTACACCGAGAACAGGGGAAAGGGTACATAAGGAGTCACAGGAAGACGGACTGAGTGAATTGTGCCAGTGAGTCACAACCTGAGGAGTGAGCTCTCTGAAGGTGACATGTGGGGTGGCATTAGACAGAACCACTTTGCTGTGGATCTCGGTGCCGTCCTTCAGAACAACCCCTTTTGCGGACCCATCGGGACCAACCAGAACCTGCTCCACAGTCTGAGACAGAAAGAGAGAGACAGAGATCCATCACACCACCCTCAGCGATGCTGCTACAAGGACACACACTCTGTTCTGACAGAACGAGGAGCAATGTCCAGCCTCTTGACCCACATAATGGACGCAGCAGGAAGGAGCCGGCCTCTTTACCTGCTCAGTGAAAATGGCAGCTCCATGGGCACGGGCAGCACTGGCGATGGCCTGCGACACACCCCCCATGCCCCCCTCCACATAGCCCCAAGCGCCCTTTTTCCCCTCCACCTCCCCCATCACGTGGTGCAGGAGCACGTAACTGCAAGAAACTGACACTGTGAGAAAGGTGTTGGGCAGGAAGGTTAAACACACAGATACAACAATGGCACACATTCCAGCTGGCAAAAGACAGTCAGTTGATCCCAGCTACCCTCAACAACAACTTCTGTGTTGACCAACCTAAAGTGCGCCTCATCTACAGTCTCAGTACTATGAAAGCCATTCTCCACCTAAGGCAGGATGTGCAGAGGAAGCCAAAGTGAAGCACTCACAAGTTTTGGGTAAAGTCGTGTCTTCTACCTTTGGTTATAGGTGTCTTCTGCCTAGTTTTCCACTTCTCTTGTTTTCGCACTCAAACAGGCACTAGAAGGAGGAATTGTGGGAAGAGCAGTTGCTCACCCGCTGCCGGGTGCCCTGGGGCTGTGCATGGCGCCAATCACAGCGTCCGTGGCCAGTGTGGCTTTGAGCGGCTCCGACTCGAACCAGCGGTCCAGGATCTGAGTGAGCACAGAGCAGCCCGTCAGCACCTCCACCAGAACATTTCTTTCTCAACTGCAAATCCACATTCCCCAGCCACAGTAGTTCACTGTGGCTGTGAGCTACATAAAATGTAATACAGTTGATCTTGCTCATATCATATTTTCCTATTTTTCCCTGTTTTTTGGAAAATAACCTTAGTTAAAACATCTTGGAAAACCTGAACATCAATAGACACTTCAGCTAGCATTAAAGCCTTTCATTTTAAAAGCTATTAAAAATAACACATTTTTTATCAATGATAAAATGGTCGTAAACCACTGTGTATTTAAGAAGACTTAAATATTTAAATTATCACCAATGCATTAAAATATTGCAATACTTAGGCTTGAAGATAACTGAGACATGATTTGTAGCAGTGACCTCACCATCAAAATGTGATAAATGTGAGCTTATTCTGCTCTGGATTACTGTTGCATGTCAATACCTCCAGTTCAATCTTCCAGACTGAAGAAAAATCTAAATTAAAAAACTGCTTACTTTTGTTATAGGCGCTGTTAGGAGTTCGTAGAATTCAGGGATGTTCTTTCCAAGTTTTAGACCTTATAAAAAATACGAGTGAAAAATCTCAACAAGGAAATGAAGCAGACACGTCGACTAATCGAGCCTGGCGCCCTCTACTGGCTGGTAAACTCCCATGTTTTGGACTGAGAGCTTCTAGCAGCCACTAGAGCAGTGTGTAATAGAGATGGGTTTTCATGTTTTTCTTCGCTCAAAACATTCACTAAACATTCATAACATATGTGAACAATTGAAATAATTCAGCTGATACTGAAAGTTTCTTTGTGGACGACAAGAAGTTTATGTCTTCCCCTGCTTGTTAGTGTGGACAGACTCCAGCGTCTCTGTACCAGTCTGCAGCAGTGGCCTCAGTGTCTTCAGTGCTGACAGTCTCTTCTTCAGTGACCCCTTTGTGATCCCAGGAATGTTGACAGGCATGGCATCCAGCAGCGGTTCTATGGCGCTCGCCAGATTATCCATGTGGGCTTGGTACACAGGGTAGGCCTGGGACAGAGGGTTGTGGGAAGGGGCTGAGATACAGTGCACAGACAACCACCTGTTGAGTGACTTCTTCTCATCATATGGATGCTCGTTTTGAAAACAAAAGTTTTAATGATTTATTTTATTTGTAGAATCGTTTTTGATAGTTTCACACTAGAGCTTATTCATCATGAATTTAACACAAGCAAGGCATTTTTATTACATTGAAAAGACTTTCTTATTTTGTGGATTTTACAGACTTTTCTATAAAAGTCATAAATACGAGAAATGTACTGTAATATGAAATGTACTGAGCACTATATTTCTAACTAAGTACTGAACTGTAAGTTGTTAAACTGTAAAATCAAACCAGAGTGAGGCCTCAATCTTCCAGACCCTACCCAGGCCTGCACTTCAGCAATTGAAGAGAAAATCTGTTTTCTGTGAGCTTGTTTTGACGTTACCTTGGCATCCAATTCAGAAAACTTGCTTATCTCTCGCTGGTTCTGTGCCATGTCCCCCCCCAGCAACAGTGATCGCGGGGGGCGCCCCCCCACTCCCTCCTCCAGCAAGGGGGTGAAGGCGTGGGGTTCTCTCAGGTACACCTTCAGACCATGTTTCTGTTGGGAGTGGGAAAGAGAAGGGTCAAGGCCATTTTTAAGTTTCTGAATATATGTATGGTATTCTCAGCTGTAAATCCAATATATTTTCTCCAAACAAAACTGTGCTTTAGATTAAGTCCATTATATTTCTATCTGGCACCACCTTCTCTACAGCACAGTGTGTCCGGTCGAGAGAGAGGAGCGCCACCTACTGGTCCACTAAGAAAATCAACCAGGTATTTTTTATTAGTTCAACGGACACAGCCTTGCTTGGCTTCTGAGATCCACAAAGATCAGGCTGGAAAATGGAAATCATTTTTGTTTGCCACATGTGCTATTTTCTGCCAGTCCATCACACATCTGTTTTATGCTGAAAATATTTTTGTCAGTACAGCTCTCACTCAACAAGCAGTAGAGGGGAAATTAGGTAACAGGAGGATAAAATGCTGAATCAAACAGTTTTGGGGACAATCAACATTAACTGTCAGCTGTATTTCAATTACGAATGAGGTGGAACAAACAGAAGTTCATACAGCACCCAAAAGTAATTGCCTTGTTCTATCATTTTGTTTTTCTAACAAATTTACAAACGAAAAGCCAATACAAAAGCCCTTTAGGAATTAAATTAATGTCAAATAAGAGTATATCATCATAATCATTCCTACTCTATATTTTAATTCACATCATTTCTGAAATTCTCTTGCATAAATCAAATACAGAAGAACAGTGCCATGCAAAAAAAAAAGTTTAAATGTGTTTTCTAAATATAATAAGATCATAAATGTTCTCTGTTGCTGATTTCCATATACAGCTCCTTAGATATTTTATTAAATAGTATAGTGATGTAGCTATGTGGTAAAATAACAGTGCTCTGTACAATTAAGTTTTTGCTTTGCCAAATGAACACAGAGAGTCTGGTATAGGGTTAACATTTTCACTTGCCTGAACCAACTTTCATTACTCAGATGTTCACAGTTTCTTTTTCAAACTTTACCCTGGAATTTACCTTCCCGCCATCTCAAAGGTTACAAATAATACTTACAAGTATACAAATATATTTCTCACTGTTTAACGCCCTCTAGAGGTCTTAGTTATGGCTATTAATTCCCAGTATTGACTACTAGTAGGACAGTAAAAGGAGTGATGAGTTACAGAACCAGTGACTGATTATGAACTTTGCTCTCTAGCTCAGAGTTAAAGTTCAACCTTTTCTCCATGTTATCTGAAAGAATCAGACCCAGACAGGCTTTTAAGGCATGTTTGTCCAAACAGCCTTTTCCTTAATATTAATATTCTTTAAAAAATTCCATCAGAGACTTCAAAATTATATTGGAGTCCTTAAATATCCATAGCCATAGCCAGCAGCCATATCATCCTGCAACTCACAACTGGCAACCCACTGAAGCTAAGCAGGTGTGAGCCTGGTCAGTACCTGAATGGGAGACCTCCTGGGAAAAACTAAGGTTGCTGCTGGAAGAGGTGTTAATGCCCCAGTATAGTCCCTCGGATGAGATGTAAAACTGAGGTCCTGACTCTCTGTGGTCATTAAAAATCCCAGGGCGTTTCTTGAAAAGAGTAGGGGTGTAACCCCTAGGGGGTTACAATTTCCCATTGGCCCTAACCAATCATGGCCTCCTAATAATCCCCATCTATGAATTGGCTTCATTACTCTCTGCTCTCCTCCCCACTAATAGCTGATGTGTGGTGAGTGTTCTGGCGCACTATGGCTGCCGTTGCATCATCCAGGTGGATGCTGCACATTGGTGGTGGTGGAGGGGAGACCCCATTACCTGTATGCATTTTGAGTGGAGTGTCCAGAAAAGCGCTATATAAGTGTAAGCAATTATTATTATTATTATTAAAGTAGACTTTCACAAATATACAGTAAATAATTTCTCTTTTGGTTTTTCTGACCATGTAAAGAGTGCACAGGAAGTCTAGTCTTTCTGTCCTCTGTTGTCATTTCTCTGTCCTATACTATAAGTCAAATAAACATGGCACC